AAGTTATTATTATAAGTAAATATTGTTAAAGATTTTTACTTTACTTTTATGCAAGTAATTCAAATTTCACGTTTTAATTATAAAATGGTGTCCAAAGAATACTGTCTGGTAGAGACTTGTTAAAACATGAATCGAAGTTCTTCAATGAATTCAGAAGAATCAAATAAACTGCCAGTGTTTCGTGAGGTTTGTATAGACAAGGAACATGTCGGCACAACTAGGGACACAATGATTCACAGATATTCTAATATTAATATAATATAAAATAAATAAATCTCAAGAATATTTATCAATTGTTATACTTCTAATCTGTGATGCAAAATAACTATAGCTAATAAACTTTTTTACAGTAATTATTATTTTTTAAAACATTATTTCTTTAACAACCCTTCCTTTTACAACATATTATTCCTTTAACAATTCCTATGTAACAACTATTTTTAATTATTAAATATGAACCAATTTTTCAAATTAGTAGGCGAAAACCTCCTTTATAAGGAGAGGCCTATGTCCAGCAGGGAAGCAGCAAAGATGTTAATGATGTTTTTTTTTTTATCTAATGTTTTAGTATGGTAATACCATACTAAGACATAAGATAAATAAATTACTGCCATTTAGCTTTGACATAAAAAACATTCATAAACAATTGAACAATACTCATACACGATAAGCTATTAAACGAAAAGACGTTTGCATACAGGATATCAACTGGCGTGTTCGCCGAGGGTTAAGTCAGACCACAAAATGTATTTAAATTCAATTTTCATTCAGCAGAACACGGAACATGTTAGAAATAGTGAAAGCTTAATGTGATTCGCATAAATAGAATTTCATGATGGACATGTAAGTACATTTGACTAGCACGAACTAAAAACAAATTCTAAACTGGTTATTTGTAATAATCGCAACAAGAGATGTGATGATTAAGCGGACGGCGACTAAGGTCCGAAAAACTAATTAGAAAACAAAATTTGAAATAACGACACGTCAAAAGTGAAACCATTCTCTTTTCTTATTAAAAGGTTTAAGTTCTATCTCAATGCATTTGCATATATATTAAACGATTCAAATGTAGATCTAAAGACGAGACGAAAACAATATGGCGAATTATAATTATTATTTCTAAGGGCATGAAAGTAGAATAAAACTTACTTTCGCCAATACAAATATAACGTAGAGGACATATGTATGTAAATAACGTATAACATACTTTCAGTTTTATTTTAGTTAGTGTGAAAAATGAAGTAAATTATTTTAATTATTTTGTGTACTCCTATTGTCTCTTCATCTAATAACAGTGTCAAAAAATGAATTCTAATACATACAAGACATAAGAAATTTTCAATCACCTTAGCTTCTAGTATTGTCTTCCTGTCCCCCAATCAGATTAACCGACGACCTGAAGAAAAGGACCATATGCTATAATCCACATTAGGACTGGCCTGTCCAGCTGGAGATTGCGATGCGATTGATTGATTAGTTGATATGAATACATCTACTACGTCTCGACAAATAGATTTTCTAACTTGATTTACTAACAATTACAGTGTCTGCCACGTCTGAACCATGTGAAGGGACTTACATCTCTTAGTAATGTTACATATTGATTGTAATCCTGACCACTGGTGTGCAAAATTTCATGATGATACTCGATGATACGTATATTTTTCATGCTAAGTTACGGGATCAAAAGAAAACTTAATATCGTATTCCATTACACTCTAATTTTTCATTCATACATATATATTACAGTAATTACTCAAATACTCAAAAACTCAAACTTGGTATTCATTGCTGAAAGGAAATCCTTTAAGATACTTAGTAAGCCTACCAGTGTATTCATCATCGTCAAATGATCTACATGTCCTGCGCACGCGCGTGGGAAACCAACCGTTACTTAGTTGCTACCTACTAGTTCAGTACTAGATGTCACGATGTTTACAAATGCCATGGAAAGAAACCTTTTAACTAAACGTAATTCTAAGAATTTTTCACAATCTCGAAAATAATATTGTTTTTTTTAGTGTGGATTTTAATTCAGTTGATTCTCCTCTTGTTTGTTCTGCTGTCTCCTGTCTATTTTTAAAATACCTACTGTTTTTACAGATGGTTACAGTTAACCTAGCATTGTCACAGCTTTGTTTTGATAACAGTGACTGTATCTGACTGACTTGAGGAAAGTTAATCAATTAGTCAAAAAAAACTCTCCTTGTTAACTTGATGTGCATTACAACAAAATTTCATCATCTTATATTATTACAAAGCTTCTTTGGTGTTTCCTAAACAAGATAATTTTCACAAATCATATTGACAGTATAAAAAATCTGTTAGGTTAAGAGTGTCTATTTATAATAATAACCACAGTACAAAAATAGCGCGATATAGCAGTGTTATTTAAAGTATTTACGTAACATTTATACAATTACATCTAAAGATCCATCATAATACGTCATAATTATACTGACACAAACATTGAAATGATTGAACTCACGAGATTTACGTCACAAATATGATGGCAACAACCTGCTCACTACAGTTGAAAAAAAAGGAGCATTTACTGCAGATGAAAAAATAAGCGCAATGCTTAGAAAAGGTGAAGAATGAAGGAAGACCGAAAACACACCCCCGCGCCGCAGGATATATTCCTAGTGAGGGAGTTGTCTTTTAAAAGAAGGAAAGAAGGAAACAGTTACAACAAAGCGTGATGAAAGAGACTCAAATTTAAAGGTCGATTAAATAAACAAAACAAAATAAGCTCTGCATGGGGTAAGCATGTACGAGATGCATCTAAACGCGTGGATAATTGCAGACATGGCACACACGCCGAAGCGATTCGACGAAGGCGTTACCGCTCGCTCGCCGTAGAGAATCAACGCTGAAACACTATATCAACGCTAGATACTAGTGATAAAACTTAATATTAAACAGAAAGTCATCAAAGTACAATACATATTAAGTATCAGTCAATATAGCTTTCACAGTACAAGCTATGCTTAGTTTAAAACTAGATGGCGTTGTGGGTCCGATGTCTGAAAATAAATAAAAATATGTCCAATACTTAAGAATATTTCTCTGAGTAATTCATCTCTTATTGAATATATTTACACATATTATAACGTCGGTATATTTTTAGATATTATTATTGTCCTGTATGTTAGAGCATTTGGTTTAATGCTCTAAGGTTAGAGATAATCACCGGTGATCTCCATTTACTTTAAACTTTATCGATCTAAGTGGCGTGCAATGGGAGAGGCCTATGTCCAGCAGTGGACTGCGATAGGCTGATGATGATGATGATGATGAAAGAACTTTTGTTTGTACAATAGTAAAATCGGCAGCATACCTGATAATTTAACATAAACTCATGAAATGCAAAATGTGAATCGCATAAGATTTGTATCCCACTGTTCTAAATTTAAATCTACATTATTACATGGACTACGCCAAGATAACAAAAAATTTGAACAGTCATAACGTCAAACTACTTGCAAAAAAAAAGACTAACTGTTGTCGTTCATAAAGCACGACACAAAAAAGATTAGAAAAAAAATGTTGAGCGCGTTGACCGTCGCCATCGTGTTTATGGTAAGTTTACAAGACTTATTTCAACCTGCTTTAATACTTTGCAAATTGCCCTACCAAGAAGTCTAGCCACTCATTAGCCCGCAATTATTATAAGTCATTATGACCCAGGAAAATAAACTTCGTCTCTGTCTAACACACAACTGGATCCTTAGAAGGAACGTGACAAACCGATCAAGATAACCGTATCAGATGAGATCGAGATCAGAATGCGGTTTAGATATTACTATTACAAACGTCTCATTATTTATTGCGATATTTTCTGTTCTAAGTAACAAGTAGTGTTTATTAGTTCTATAAAGAGTCTGGTTACGAAAATTTTCAATGATATGCAGCTTTTAGACGTTATATTGCGATAGTGTTATGTTTGTGTCATCAATGACTAAAATGCATCATGACTACCTCATTTCAAAATACGTGAGTTAACAATTTCAGTTTCTCATTTATTTATATGAGTTAATGTTAACATTCTACATAGAACTCACCGTGGTCATGAGTCGATTTCGCACGATCGGTGCAATTTGATCATAACGTCGGCAATCCAAAAAAGGCTTTGTGCCTTACCATTATAAATATTTCATTAGGTCTTTAAATATTTCATTTTGAAATTCTTCATTTTTTATAAACCTACTTCGGTTTATAAGAAAATAAAGAAATAATAAATCTAGTGGATAGAAGGCGTGCCAAAAGAAGTATTTTGGCCTGATCCGTCAGCCATTAGATTTATGGTCCACTAGATGTACCTTGATGTACCATGTACAATGAGTTTGAAATTGTAAGCATTACATGACAATCCAGTGACCTTTTATAAAGAATTAGAAAATAGGGATATTGAATCAGATCACAAAAAAAATACAGTAATGTACCAATCTAACATTAGCTGATGCGTTTTAATTTTTTATAGAGTTCACGGTTTTCAACGACTGTAATTAACGTAGATAATATATAATTTATTCGAATCGTCTTTTATCGAAATATTAGGAAATTACATGGATTAATTACAATCCATAACGTTTTCAGTTGAATAAGTAGGAAGTAGAATTACGTACGTATTTGCCATTATGAATAAGTATATTTATATGGTCATAGAAACAATCCTAAACGGGTTAATAAACGTTAAACACTGGCGATATTTACAACCAATAAACCAAAGTATTTATTAAAGGTAATGCCATATCATTAAGTTTAACTCCATTGCGGGGAAAACAAAATCTACCAAATAAGTGGTATCATAAAATGTAATTTGTAGAATTACTAGAAAACCAGTTGAGCATTTAGCTTGGCACAAATTTAAAGTAAAATGTTTAGGATGGTGTTATTTCTAATAAACACTTAGAAATATCCGACATGCGATACACGTTGGTTTAAATTAAATTCAATAGTAATTAAAGTGCCGACTTAGTAATTAAAGTGCTTACATTTATATCAAACTTTTGTTGCTGATTCTGATGTTCATGCACGTCGTGGATACAGTTTCTGGAACAAGGATAAATAAAGTTAGGGTGTGAACAACCAAACAATCTTATACATGCTTTATACAACTAATGTGATTTATTTTTTGTTGAAAATATTATTAACTAGCTGGTACGCGCTGATAATTTAAAAAAAACTGTGTTAGTTTTAAAGGGTTTTTCTTACAGGCAAAATAGCCAAGTTCCTCAATATATAGACAGCTAGCTGGTTGTAAAAAATTTACAAAATCGGTTCAGCCGTTTAGAAGATTACCCGGTACAAACAGACAGACAGAAAGACAGACAAAACAATTAAACTGGATTTTAGACATAGGTAATTGTGCACATGAAAAAACCTAATATTTTAATATTACAAACAGACACTTCAATTTTATTTATTTGTATAGATGTTAGAATACAGAGTGAGGCAGTGGGCAAAGCTGATTAATATTAAAATTGCAAATATCGGAATTTCAAAACAACTGTATAGCAACATTCGTTGTGTATGACCATAAAAAGTAAAGTAAAAAACTAATTAAAAATTAAAAAAAAAAACGTCTGAACTTCCGAGACAAAGGCTGATAAAAGATTATTACTAATTACGATCTCGTTTTTACTACAGGAAATAAAGAAGGTACATCAACTAAAACTATTTAAAATCATTGTCTTGTTATGTGTATATTTAATCAGGAGATAAGATGTTAAAACTCACCACTTCCAGTAACGAATTTTATTTAAAATCATAATCTAAATTCGTAATATAATTGGAATAAGTTCGATTATAAGAAACTCATTATAAGAAAGCAACGACACGTCCTTTTTTTCTTTAAGTCTCAGGTTCTCTTTTTTTCTTTAAGTTAGGTTCAGACAGTAGACAAACATAATAACAATATGTGATTTAATTTAAAATGGTTTCGAAACATAACAATAACATGGAACTGTTCCAATTACAATATGGAGTAGATAAATACAGATCAATTAACGCTTATATACTGTGTCCTCCTGACAAAAAGTGATTACGCTCGATTATTTATGCACGTCCCATGTACCGGTGAATGGCCTACTGCGTTCTGGCATTCAATCGTGTTGACGGATTCGCAAATATTCTTTTCTTTGTTATTAAAACCTAGTAATGGTAAATTTAAGCTTATTCACTCGTTTTTATCTCTTCAAACCTTTACTCTACTCTACAACGCTTCACTGTGGCACATTGTGGTGGCAAAAAATAAATAAAACCATCTTTAAATCGTGTTGTATCTCGTGTCAAAAGGACAATGGCAGGCATGTATGGGACTTTTGTACCGCCTGGTATGGATTATTGTTGCATTTATTTTGATGGTAATATTATCAAAAATTATAGTTTTAATTACCAGATTTTTAGAACTTTGTGTACAAAAGTTATTTCAGTTTGTAGTTTGCATATAGGCTGTACTGAAGTAGATACCAATGACAGCTGGCTGTCACGAATGAGTTTTCATTGCTGTCTACAAGTTAACGTAGATATCTTTCAAAATCATTGGTTTACGATTTTCATGATTCATCAATAAATTGTTGCCAGTTAAAATCAGTTTAATTACTTTTTTTACATAATGTTCACGACAAATATATCGATTTGAATATAGGATATTAGTACCTTTCCTTAAATTAATTTATTTAAAATAATCAATGTATTACTTCATCTAATCTGTCAACTTTATTAATAAAGAAATGTTTGTTTAAACATATCGTTACTTTATGTAATTTATATTTTATGGATGGCAAGTTTAAAAAACGTAGGAAAGCGTTTTGTTCAACACTTGAACTTTATGAGTTTTTGAAGCGTGCATAAAAGAACTTAATTTTTTTATATAATTAAAATTTATTATATACCTATATATATAATAAAAGGTGTAATTATATTATATTTTAATTATATAAATGTATAATATATGTACATTTTGTTTAGTTTTATATGCTTATTGATAAAAAATACACACCACCTAAAAATATATTTATATATGATTATATTCACACACACACACACATATATATTTATGTGTGTGTGTGTGTGTATATAGTAAAGGTTAAAGGTGTATAACCTTTAACATTACAAGAGTTAATAAATCTATTGCCGCTATTGCTTTTACAAATTGTACGGTCCATAATTGCAACATACAAACGGGATGATATCTTTATTCCTACCCACAAAAAGATAGATACGAAGAATACGACCAGTGCCGATAAAATGAAATTAACAAGAAAAATTGCTTGGAAAAATAGTGCAATACTCATAATAGAATTAATTAATGAAGTTACAAAAAACCGGTGCAACACAGACCCGAGAATAACGATTTTGAACTTGAGAATAGAGACATCTTATCGTTTTAAAAAGATAAGGACCCATGTAAAAACGAACTCGTTTAACAACATCGTTAATCACCAAGAGAAGCGCCACACACAAAACCAGAGCTTATCAACTTTCTGTTACACATAAATTATTTGAAAATGTTTAAATTCGACTCACTATAGGTTCAATACAAAAACACGTCACAGACTGAACGGTCTAAGCGCGTTATCTTGCTTCTGAGAAGTGAGATAAAAAATACTCGATGACGAAAAGACCGCGACGAAGGCAAACGAATTTTTTAATGAGACTTATTCTTATGTCTACACGATGATTATTATGAACTGGTACCATTCAAAAACATACGCTCTATTCTCGTTGCAGAGGACTTATTTTACATTAATAAAAAGCAGTCCATCGATGTTTAGAGAGTTATTGTTAAATAGTTTAGGTATGCGTGTATTATTACATAATCGTCATGTGTCGGCCTTGAATATAACGTATTTGAGGAAAATAGAAGACACATCAAAATTGAAGGGTTAAACTATATTTGTTATTATTGAAGTAATTATGAGTGAAAGCTGTGATAGGAGTATGCATGTTCGACATTGTAAGAACAATGATATTTTGTAGAATCAACACGGATTATTGTGTAATTGCGAGCAATCGCCTCACGGTATCGATTACTCAGAAAGTTCAGAAACAAATCACAGCAATTTCGTGGGGCATTATAACGTTTTTCTAAAATTATACGTTGCGCTTGATACGCAACATGTGTTTATGGAAAATATGAGGCTATCTACGTAATGCATTGAGTTTTAGAGAGAAATATAAAAATGTTTTCATCCTAAAATAATTTTTGCTCATTTAAATTCCAAAACGTTAACATTTCGCTTCAGCAGCTTATTTATGTTAATTACAAACATTTGTTAGAAAGCATATTATATAAGTTTTTATGGTTAATGTATGTTGTGTTGTGTACATATATTGAATAGATCATTTGCAATAAATGAGACAATATTGTCGGTCGCCGTGTCGGCCGAAGCGCTCGTCTCACTATCGCCGTTGCTCAAGTCATTAATCATTCGTCAGTGGCGTCCGTAGGAACATAAAACACTGAGATTACACTGCCCATAAACGTTACATCACACTGTTACAACCGCTTCGAATTCAGTATCATTTATCCCAATACAAAATAGCTGCCAAAATGATGAGGAAAAACGCTTTTGTAATTCTTCTTCAATTGTAAGTATAAAATAATTGAAGCAAAACAAATACATATTACGGTCTGAGAAACTGGTCGCACCTTTACCGTGGATTATAATATAACAACACGCGACGATGATAAACCTAAATTGGAAACAACGGACAATAGAGCACTTTCGTATCTCACAAGCCGTGGCGACGGCACCGCAACATGACTAAGTCGCCTCACAACATTCAAGTCCAAATCAAAAGGATTAATAATGAACACATTCAATTGTGATTTTGTATCCAGCCCTCGTGGTGTCATTTAACGCTTAACTTAATACCGTATCCTGAATGAGACATCCGATATTTCTTTTCATTTTATAAATTTTAATGACTGGGATAACCCAAATGGTCCGATATTGTATTGTTTGTACATAATCAAAGCCGTGGGATATTTGTCATAGATCATGAGAAAATATATGACGAACAGTCAGTAATTTTGAAACATAATGTGAATGTAATCATATCTTGGGGACTCACGAAATATACCTCACATTTAGCAAACAGAAAAACAGTTCTATTTGCAATGTAATAAAGAACTACTCATATGCATAGATATTGAATTTCAACTGTTATAATGAAGACTGAATAAAATTAAGGAAGAAAATAATAAGTTTTGACCTACTTACAACAAAACTGATGTTCTTGCTATTGCACATGCTTTTACAATACTAGGCTGGTTTTTAAACTTAAGCGGTCATCTATAAATACGGCATCTAACATGTGCGTTGTCACTTGTTATGCTGGTAAATACACTGCCAGCATAACAAGTGACAACGCACGTGTCCAACTAAGAACCAGACTGGGTGGCGCGATTTCGCGATAACATTTCGAAGGAGACCACTGATTGATCGACAGATACTCCTCCATATCCTCCACCGACTGATCCATGTTGTATTGAAACGTCACTAGTCTGATAGCATCTGACTATCGTTGCATCGTTAGGCTACCCTTACGCTCTTTTACCAACATCAGTCTGTACGTGGGGAGTCAACCACATTAGTTATTCAATTATGCGAACTGCCAACTATCAGATATTCGTTGCAAGGGAGTTTTCAAGGTATTTTCTTCAATGATACTTCGTGAATACACAACAATAACTCAACTATGAATAGATTAAATCCGTATGAAAGAGAATTTTGAATATGAAAGAACGACGTGCCTGAGGGGTCGGTCGAGTGCAGCAAGATATATCAAAGCGTGTTTAAAGGCAATACACATATTCGTGATACATTAATAAAAACATAAGAGTACATATGTTTGACGTTGCGGGCGGGTGTCGCAGACGCATCCATGGATCCGACGAATAAAGGCTCGTTACGCGTTCGCGCTCATGAATGATGGATAGCCGTGGCCGATCAGCCAACACGCCGTGCACCGTACACCAGCATTTCCGAAAGCTTTACTCGAGGCCTCATTGCTATTCTTTATTTCTTGAACGTTAAGTTTCA